GGGGGGGGGGGGGGGGGGGGGGGCGTGTGCTACTGCTGCTGTGGGTTGGGTTTCTTCCGTGTGGCCCCTGTTTGCACATCAGCAGTGTGTGGGGCGTGTGTGTTGTGGTCTTCTCGAGCTACAGTCCAAGACAAACACACACGCACACACGCACACGCAGCCCTCAGTATATGTGTGAGGCGTTTCATGGCGACTCCTGAAGTTCTGTGAAATCTATCTTAAACCTTCATGCTGTGCCTAGATGCCCTCCTTCCATACTTGCTGTCTTACTTTAGTCCTCTCACTTCTGTGAACAGATTTCATTGTTTTGCATAGTTAATTGAGAGTCATGATAAGACAGTTGCGAACTGGGAACCTGTTGATAAAAAGAATATCTTAGATCCTAGAATTAGGTCAGCTTGTCACAGTGAATCTTTTCTCTAAAGGATTCTGATGTAATCTGAATGCAAATATTGGACTGTTGAACTTGTCTGTAATAAAACATCATACAAGGCACAGATTTTGGACCTATTGTAAACAGGCAAGCAATGGATTCACCTACTGTCTGTGTGTGTGTGTGGCTGCCTGTGACTGTGTTCAGCATAAAAGAACTAAAGCTCCTTTATTTATTTCCCTTCAGTCTCTTTTGTTTTTCTTCTCATTTCTTTACATTTATGAGGTGGAACCAAGTACCCCCAATGCAAGGCCCTGACCAAGCACACTCTGCTCCAATCTTCAGTTTACTTTGCTGTCTCTCTAAAGACAAGTTCGATTTTTGAACAGTGGAATCTCTTCGTACTGAACTTCCTTTCTTAACACATGTTAAAGAGTTCGTCTTGGATTCAAAATTTTGTTTTAGGGTCCATGTAGGACGTGGGCATTAACATGTACTAAATATTATCATTTAAACTTTATTGTATCAGAAAAAGAGTCCCGGACAAGAGGGACCTGCGTTGTTGCACAAACACAAAACCACCACACATATCTCGACACGGTTGACAAGATCCGAAGAAATATTAACGGTTTGAACACAAATAAAAGTGAAATGAGAATGTGTTCGTGGCTCCTCAGATTAAGGTGAGAGGAATGCACCACGTCAGCAGACGCACCAGCAACAACAACCGCACAAATGTGTGCGAGTGTGTGCTGGAAGGGGACATTCCATCCATTCTTGCTCTTCCTGGTGAAGGAGAGAAAGCATCTCACGCACCCGCAGACACTCACTTCTGCTGACAGCAGGCAGAGGGAGAGGTGCACATCCACCTCTATCATGCTTTCCTCCCATTAAACCCTAAAACAACTTTCTAACTACCTGTCTCATCCGATTGGATGGAGGCTTTTCACTTCGCTCTCTGCTGAACCCACACAGCATCAGCCTTTTACATCATCTAAATTCAATAGATAGTTTTGAATTATTTAATTTCAAGTGAGGACTTTTAATTAAGGTTAAATCAATAGTTAGTTCAGTAAAATGACAACTGATGCATCGTCAGATCCACAGTTTGCCTGATTAAACATTTTCGTCTGGTATGAGAGCCTCATTTCTTCTGCGTAGCTCTGAAAGAAAAATCTTTGCTGTGGTGGAAAAAAAAATAATTGCCGCTCCTCTCATTTAGCAGTGAATGAACAAACACATGCAGGGGAAGAGGGTGCCAGCCAGAAGAACGGCTCTATGAGGCCAGCGACGACAGCACTGACGCACTCCTGCTGCCCTGCCAGCAAACGCTCATTCAGCACTCAGAATGGATTTTTTCCCCCCTTCTAGGTAGGTGGATAGTATGTCTTTGTCCGTATCCATGTGGACCAGTAAAGAGGCTGGCAGCTTTTCTTTCTTCAGGTTTTCCATTTTCTCCACTGTAGCCCCACAGCAAACAGGATTTAACTCCAAACTCCAGTCCTCCATGGCAGTTTGTAACAGTTAGCAGTTAGCTAAAGATTATTATAGCCATTATATTATGATTTCCATATCTGACAAATCAACACTTTACTTATATTTTTTATGATATATATATATAAAGATCTAAAAACTGTATACCTTTCATCAATGATAGGTCCCTTCCAGGTGTGAAAGCTGCTAGTTTTATAAGCACTAAAGCCTATTCCATCAGATGTGTAGCCTTTTGAACTGAGTGCTGATAATAAGCCATAAGGCCTCTATTATCTTACATCCAGAGGAAGTGGCTTCTAGTACAGCCCTAAAGTCCAATTAATCTGACCAAAGAAACATTTCTTACTTTTCCTCAGTCCAATTTAGATAAGATTGAGTTAATAAAATTGAGTTGGTGTTATGCACTAATCCCACCAAATTCAAAAAGTGCTGATATTAGTCATGGAGTATCAAAATGTCTCACTTTAAACAAGTGTTTTCCATATCCTGGTGTGCTTTAAAAAATGGTTTATTGAGATTTGCAAATAATTGCATCCTGTTTTTGTTTTCTTTTTTTGCAGCATCCCATTTGTTTTGGGTTTTTTTATAACCACGGTTTGCATTTATTTTTGTGCTTTCACAAAGAATCAAAACATGTGTATAGCCTTTGTTCTGAAAAAAAATCCTAACAAATTTACAATCGTATGTGAATATGTAAAGACCTTTTAAAATTCATTAGCCAAATCCCCCACACACTCCAACTAGGTACATATAGACTCACAGAGCTGCATACTAAAACACTTCTGACAGAAGACTCCTAAATTTTACAGAAAGCTTTTAACAAAGCAAACTTTCATTTCAAGAATGAGCAGTATCATCCTCACAATTAAAAAAAAAAAGCAAAAAAACAAGGCACAAGTTTCAATTGACATAAATCGTTAATTCACTCGCTCGCTCTCTCATTCACTGCCGGTAACGCACAGATTGTCAAAGAAGCTGACATATGCAGAATGCAGAAGTAGTCAAACCGGGGTTCAGGTAGCTGGCTTCCAATAGAAGTGTCCAACCATTTTTCTGCAGCAAAATATTTAATCTAATCAGGAAAAAATCCTTTAACGAAGCTCAATGGACTTTACGTCTGTTCATACCACATCCGTCCCTCTGTGCACATTTTGATCATTGTGTTGTTGTTTTTTTTAAAAGTATTTTTCCAGAGCTGTGAAGTAATCTCTCAGTTGGTGTCTATTTGACAGGGGTTGACTCCGGCTTTCTCCGCTCTGACATACAACCTCAGGAAGTCCTTGTAGAGAGGCGCGCATCCGAGCCAGGGCTCGCCAAAATGGATGGAGCCGGTCAAGAGGTGCTCGGCCCCCCCCGGGTGCACGCTGCACCGGGCGGGGACGCTGAGGCGTCCGCTCCAGACTCGTCCTCTGGCTCCGCCCCCAACAAACATCCCGCTCTTCTGACGGAACAGCCGGCTCAGAGTCACCGAAACCACATTGTGCTTCTTTGTAGCCGGAGCCACGCCTCCAAACGTCCCGGAGCCAGCTGCAGGTATGGTGGGGGGGGGGTAAGGAGAAAAGGAAACTGTTAAATTAAAGTTACATTGGACCTGACTTGCTTTTGCCCTAAGCAGAGCATTGCAAATGAGATATAAATTCTCAGCGCGTGTATTCCGAATCCCACACTTTTGGCATGAAAGGAAATAACACAATGACTTTATAAAAAGATCAAACTTCTATTTTAATGTGTACAGATGCATTCGTGTGCATGTGTTTACCAAAGTCACTGGTGCATACGGCCATGAGGACCTCCTCATCTGAACAGGGTTTGCAAGGGGCTACAGCAGAGAACAGGAAAAAAAGAAAGAATAATTTCAGCATAAAAAACTCTTCTTTTCAATGCGTGTTTTTATTGACCCGGTTTTATTTCACATGGTAAATGAATCCCAACATCTCCTTTATCTCTGCTTTATGCGACACACGAGGAAATATGTAAAACATTTGTGAAGGAGAATGGCAGGTGGTGGGGGAGATAAGATCAGAGGATTACCTCTTGACCCTGTCAGCTAAAAAACAGCAATAAAAAAAGGCCAGACAGACTGACAGGAAACTTCACTGGAGAGGCTTTCCCCCCCCCCTCCATCGTTATAGGAAGGTCCGGCCTTTCTCTCTACACTACAGACTTCCCCAATTAAACTCACTCACTATAGGGCAGGCTGCCCAAAATTCCTTCAAGAGGGGAGGGGTGTCTGTTTTTGATTGACAGCTGAGGTAGGGTTGGCTGACCCTTGTGCTTGACCCTGACGGGACCTCTTGATTAGCCTGCTTGTTTTCATATGTCGACTTACACCGGGGAGCTTTGGAGGGTGAGGTAGGAAGGAGGGGGAAGGCGCCATGAAGGTGAGAAGATGAAAAAAAGGGTTAAAAAAGTACCATGGCCTGTTGATCCTAAAAACACTTTCAGAACAAGCTCTTGTCTGTCAGTACCCTCTGACGATGGGAGTCTCCAATTAACTTAACATGCAGGTTTTTGGGCTTTGGGAGGAAGCTGGAGAAACCCGGAGAGAGCCAACACATCCACAGGGAGGAAAACACACACAGGTTCCAGGGGATGCTGCTAGCCTCCACATCACCCTCCACTACTCTTACTGAATGTTTAAATCCAACATTAGTCAGGATGTTCTTTTGACTTGTTTTTTATCTAAATTCCAGATCTGATTTCCCCACAACACACACCTCCAACTACATAGAGCACTCAGATGCCTCGTTAAAAACAGTTCATGCTCACACGATTTTCCATTGAACATTTGTCACAGTTACATTTGCTCTGAGGGGATTGAAGTTTGAAATACGCGAGTTTCACTGCAAATAAAAATGACTAAAATGGCCCCTCACCTGAACCGGTGTGCAGGTACGGGTACATGTGGGCCCCCGGCCCCCGGCCGGGCACCAGCTCATACTGAAAGGCGGTGATCCTCCTGCTGATGTCCTTCTGCGGGATGGCCTCCACAAACAGAGCCCCCTGCGCCAGGCTGAAACAGCGCACCGCCCCCTGGGCCTGGTCCTGGCCTGAGAGCAGCATCCTCAGGTCCCCCTCATGCTCCAGATACACGTGAGAACCCTGACGGGGGAAAAAATGTCGAAATTTTATAAAATATATCGAGCCAAACGCTAGTTAGGGCAAAATGGATTTTTCTGTTTCGCCTTTCTTTTCTACCTGAGAGTAAACTTGGGGCTTTATGCACACATGGAGACCTGCCATGTGTCCTGGGGGCCGCTCCAGGTTTGGGCGCAGGTTCACGATGATGGCCCCTGTGGGGTAGAGCCACTCCAGAGATCCCTGAGAGCAGCGGAGGTAGACCTGCTCCACATCCCGGCGGTGAGACTCGTGGCTCAGACCGCTGGGGATGAGGAAACAGACATGCGTCACACACAGCATAAAACCAGAGTACACAAAACATGACTGAAAACACAGTTTCTATAAAACTTTTGCTAACAATCAGTTGACTTGAATATCTCTAACAACATGCAAAGTTGAAGAGACTTAGAAGGGATATTGAATTGAACCAATGTGAAGCAACGGCTGCTGGCAAAGCAATCTTTCTCTGATGTGAATGGCCCCCCAGCTGATAAAAATCTTTAGAAGTTTGAGGCGATTTACAACTTTACAATAACACACTGCAAACAAAGACCTCTCATTTTTTATGACCTGGGGGGACCAGGCGCTGTAATCATAGGCGCCATGTGGCTGTGTTTACTTAAGATAGGGCCAGAAGCTGAGGCATTCCTCTACTATCCATTCACAAATCCTTCAGCAAAGTATTTTTCTTCGCGTAAAAGTTGCGTTTACAAAATCCACTGGATGTATTTTCTTAAAGCACAATGACTTTACTGCGAATTAAGTCATTGCCTTTATCCGATCTTCACTTTGATTTAGTAGGATATTTTCTGAGTTTCTGGAGAAACTTTAATATTGAAATTAATTGTTTTAATTCAGCAATGCGCAGCATAAAAGCATAAATACCCCTTCTTCATTTACAGCTAGAGTGGACTTCATTTCAATCATCAACAGATTGACGGAAACAAAAAAGGAAATGACTCTAAAATCAGCCAGTTTTTCTCGAAAGTGCGCGCATTTCTGAGCCCAATAACGGCACGACAAATCATCAGTATGCTTTCACTTCTCGGAGTCTTTACCACCACCCTATTCTCACCTTCCTCGCCAGCTGCATTGGTCACTGGAGTATTGAGCCACGGTCCGGCTCAGGAGCACAGCTGTGATCCAGTGCGCAGCCCACAGCCGGAGCATGGTGGACTATCCGCCCCGGCGGTCACCGGTTCCCGCACACCACACCACACCACTCCAGACCAGACCAGACCACACCAGACCGCGCCAGCCGTGTGTCCGATCCCGTGCAAACGTCCCAAATTACGCAGATAGGTGCGCGCAGACTACATGGCAGATCCAACTGAGGCAAAAGCGCCGTCCGGGGGCTGAAAGACAGTAAGGGCAGCTGTGCGCACGCGCAGCAGGACGAGTGCGACTCGATTAATAAAGAAAAACTTTCGCTGCGAGCCCCTCCGTTTCACGTCAGCGAGGGCGCGTGCCAGCAGCTGACTCCGCTTGAGTGACACGCGAGCGCTCGCTCCAAACCACTCCCACCAATCCGCCCGAAAGAAAAGCGGAGAGCCACTCGGTTCAGCTCATAGAGGGGAAGGCTTTCACTCAACGGAATCTGGATATGCCTCACTGGGACGAAACATTAAAAAAAAGACTCGTTGAAGCTAAAAAACCCAACAAAAATAAGTGCGTAAAAACGCGCAAAGTGCGTAAAAACGCGCAAAGTGCGTAAAAACGCACAAATCCAAGAGGCAGCTAAAGGAAATAAAGACTGATTTGAAAAAACATGTTCATACGGGAGCAAACTTGAAGTCCACGTGTGTTTACTGAGCCCTTCCCCGTCCAGCAAATCTCACTCCAACACTGTAAAACCTACGTGCGTGGGCTCAGCCAACACACGGATCAAACTGTCGCTACGAGAATGAGATCATAGTTCAGGTTTGAGAGTGCGGCAGCATCCTGAGACTTCCGCAGCTCCCGGGAAGCTGAACCAGCCACCGTCCTAGTGAAAGACGGGTTTATTCGTGGCCGTGTTGAGTGCAAATAGCTTCTGGTGTCGTTTTATCATTTCTACCCAATAAAGCAGCTGTTGCTGATGGGTCTATCACAGCTCGCTGCCTCCCAGTCCTCCCGGGAAAGAATTAAAGGACCTGCCCTAAGAAAAAAGAAAAGAAAGAAAACAACCAAAAAGGAAAAGTCACATCTGGGCTCTAAGCGCCCGTTTGGATCCTGGGCAGTTTTTTCCCGTGAGAAAACACTCGGAGCTGCGAGCATGATACTGGGTTGTCACATTCCCCCGGACTGCCAGAGCAATGTAACGCATTTCGAGAAATACTGGAACAAAATCCTCTACACCCCCTCCCTCCCTCACCCCCCTCTGCAAACACACTGCTCTCGGACAGAATTTTTTCTTCACTGCCAAAGAATTGTTGTGAGAAGCTTTTACGCTTGGTCAGAAAACATCAGCTTACACAATGAGCAGAGTGATGGTTTCATCTTAGTCGACTCTAATTTCTCGCTTTGTCTTAATTTGGTTTTTGGTTTACTTTCTGTTTTCCATGTTTGGCTGATGCCACTGAAACGTTTTAATTCACAACAGAACCAGTTTCGTTAAGAATGATTAGGCCTTCTTGCATCTCAGCTCATCATTTTGTTCCTAAACATCTGGGGATTTAGGAGACCAGTTTAGGGAGAGGAATGTTGGGCCATTTTTATCTGATATAGGATAGTAGCTGCTCTAGTATCTTAGGTTTTATGTATCTTATTTGGCATTTCATGATGCTCCAAATGTTTTCAGTTGCTTAAAACTGAAAATTGTCCTGAACCTCCTCATACTGCTGAAGCAGAAGAAAGGATGGTCACATAATCCAGCTGGTTCCTACAGCTGTTTGTTTCCAAAGTACTTTCTCATTTTATTTATCAGCACTTCCTTATACCGGCCTTTTGCTGCCTCTGTCCCAACATTTTTTTCAATGTGTTGCTGCCAATCTTTTTTAAATGACACATAAAGATGTTGAGAAAACGGTTTACGAGGGTCCTGAGTCGTAGAAGTATTTAGAAATGAACACATCTCACATATTGGAGGTGGGGGAATTGCGGTTGGAATTGGAAACGGCCTTACTGAACTTTTGTTACCACAACGCTTCACCAATGAAAAGGGCTGAAATGAACCGATTTACCTAAATCTCCGGTTTTGTACCTCGAAACTGTAAGTGCTGCGGCTTTAACCACAAAAATAGACAGAGGGGAAAACCTTGACATAAGAAAAAGAACCTCCTCCCCCC